GATTTGCATTTCTCTGGTAATAGCGATATTCAGTATTTTTTCATGTGTCTATTGGCCATTTGTATGTCTTCATTGGATAATCGCTTGTTTCGGTCTTTTGCCCATTTTTGGATTGGGTTGTTTGTTTTTTTCTTATTCAGTCGTATAAGCTGCTTATGTATTCTGGAAATTAAGCCTTTGTCAGTGTCATTATTTGCAAATGTTTTCTCCTATTCTGTAGGTTGTCTTTTTGTTTTGCTTATGGTTTCTTTTGCTGTGCAAAAGCTTATTAGCTTAACTAGGTCCCATTTGTTTATTTTTGCCTTTATTTCTATTGCCTGGGTAGACTGCCGTACGAGAACATTGCTAAGATTTATATCAGATAGTGTTTTGCCTGTGTTTTCTTCTAAGAGGTTTATAGTGTCTTGTCTTATGTTTAAGTCTTTAAGCCATTTTGAGTTTATTTTTGTGTATGGTGTGAGGAAGTATTATAACTTCACCAATTTACATGCAGCTGTCCAGTTATCCCAACACCACTTGCTGAAGAGACTGTCTTTACTCCATTGTATGTTCTTGCCTCCTTTGCCAAAGATTAATTGACCGAAAGTTTGTGGATTTATTTCTGGGCTCTTTATTCTGTTCCGTTGATCCATATGTCTGTTTTTTGTACCAGTACCATGCTGTTTTGATTACTGTTGCTCTGTAGTATGGTCTGAAGTCTGGGAGGGTTATTCCTCCAGCTTCACTCTTTTTCTTCAGTATTGCTGTAGTGCCCAGGGTATTTAGAAGCTGATCTCTCATCTACATTGGTTAATTCATCTTCATCACCTCCCAGCACCTAACATACAGTAGGGCAAGACTAAACATGTCTTGACCAGAATGAGCTGAATCAGTTGAGCATCAGCACTCTTCTGTATATGTCTCAGGGTAAATCAACTCAATGTCTACCCTAGAGAGATAGCCTAGCATAGCCCAGGTAACTAGAGGATCAGCCACATACCAGAGTGACTAATTCCCAGCTAACAGGGGAGGCAGGATCCATCTGGCAAACAGATGGAATGCTCCCTTTTAGTGCTAAACATAAACTAAGTCTCACTATCTGCCAGAAGAGAAAGTTAACACTAATTTTGTGGGGTTTTTCCCCTCCTTAAAGGAAAAAGCCTTTTGTTTATGAACTCAAACTTCATGAGAAGTTTTTGCTCCATATTGTGATTATAACACCTGATTTCCTAATTAAATATGCTAATTGCAAGTTACCTCACATAGCTACAAAGTGCAGAAGTATAATTATGTAATAAAAAAGCTCTTATGAAACTTTGGTGGGAAAGAGGTCTGGCTGAGGAGGCAGCTGCTTAGCAGGAACAAGAATTGTGCTACCTAGGGACCCACTGTGTCTGAGTTGCCACTGGGTAACAGTTATAAGTTGGCTCTGTGCTTGAGTTTCTCAAGTTTTAAGTCTGAGAAAACCTCTGTCTGTAATCGAGGGCATGGCAACAGAGCCTTTGATGGGATTGTTCCCAGTGCCTCTCTCCCCAAATAAACACACGTGCACACATACACACAAACTTCCCCCGTCATCATCTACGCACTGAAAGAGTCTTCATGACTCCAGATTCCTGATCTTTTATGAAACAGAATCACAAGAAGATCAGAGGGAGGTGTGGTGAAGATGGCAGAGTAAGAGGACCCTGAGTGCACTTCCTCCCAGGGGTTACAGGAAAATTGCAAGAAGTAGATCAGAGAGGGAAGTGGACCTACTACCTAGTAGAATGGACCTACACTGTAAAGAACTGGGAGAAAAGGAATACGAACAGTGGGAGAAATGCCAGTGACCTTAAGCTTAAGAGCGTTTGGTGATTTGGTATAAGAAGGAGTTGGAAAATGTAGGAAGGCTTTTGGAGAAGTTTTGCTGATCAGTATGAATAGGGTTCCTTTAATGTTTTTCAGGAGGTGCAAGTCAAGATTGGGATTTCTTTTAAATACTCTACAGTGCCAAGACTGTGCTTCATAGAATGCAGCTTTGTGTAAATACTGGACCACATGAGGCCCATGTGTGTATTTAGGCTACACACCGTCATCTTACCCATATTCATTCCCATAAAGCAAATATCTTTTATTTCTCTATTCTTTTTGCCCCTATATAACCTCCTCCCCTTCAGCATATACACACACATACACATATATGTATAAATTCTCGCTGCTCTTCAAAATCATCATTATCACAATTACCACATGCACAGTTATTTCCAAATCCTGTAAGACCTCACAATCAAGCATCCCTTCCTCTTCTCTTGGCTCTTTGGGGGCTTTGTTTGGTTGGTTTTGTTTGTTTTTCTTCAACTCGTCGCCATCACATCTCTTAAATGGGTCTTTATTTTTCTCATCAGTCGTCCAAAGTTCAAAGCAGGTCAGCACTTAAGCTGCAGCACACAAAAGAAACATAGAGAAAGGTTGAAACTATATCATGTCGACTGAGCTACAGCCACTTACTGTCCCATAATTGTGTTCCTGTTACTTGCCGCAAGACGCTGTGTAATCCTCTCATCAAACTGCACTTGAAATATTATCCATGAGCAGAATTATCAGGTTAGATTGATTTTCCCATCCCATGTTATGTACATAATTGAAGCTACAGTCCAGCAGCCATAAGTTAAGTTGCATCCTGTTGAAGTGACAGACGTCATGGTAGCAGGTGGGAGGGACCCTTTGATAGACCTTGTCAAGATTTCACTCCTGGCTCTTCTCTCCTGTGAAGTGAGAGACCAGCCAAGCCTCATGGTTCCCAAGCTGACTGGTGGGATAACTTGGTCTCGTTTATTTACTGAGGGAGCTCATAGGCACTGTAATTATTTATCCAGAGTAGAATACAGCAAAAATTTCCCAAACCCTCACATAACCAGTGACATCCAGGGTAACACAAGAAAATAAATAAACCCACCAACAGCCTTTTTGGTGGCACAAGCTGACCAGAAGCAGTATCTCCAGAGAAAATATGTAGACTTATGTCTGGAAAATTCCACTTCATATGTCAGAAAGAAAGATTTTGAAGTGCAGGTTATACAGTATAAAAGAAAATATATAATCATGGAAGCACATTACCTAGCTCATAATAAGAGATCCACAAAGATTTGTTGAAGAAATATTTTTAAGTTAACAAATGTTGATGTTTGAATTTTTCTTCAGACTTTGTGTTTATTTTGATAAATTCCATATACAATTCCATAAGTTTCATGAAAGGAGGGAAATGTTTTCTTTAGATGCCATGATATAGAAAACTTTTCTGGGTTTCGGTTCGTAAATTCGTTTTCAAAAAAAAAATTACTTTGAGACAATTTTAGACTTAGAAAAAAGTTACAAAAATAGTGTGGAATTCTCACATGGCCAGCTTCCCTTTATGTCAATCCCTTATATCACTGTAAAACAATGATCAAATCTAAGAAAGTAACTTTCTATACTACTATTAAGTAAACAGCAGAATTTATTCAGATCGCACTGGTTTTCTATGAAAGACCTTTTTCTGTTCCAGGATCCAGTCTCGGATCCCAAATTGCATTTAGTTGTCACGTTTCCCTGATCT